ACTCACCGGGACAGCCTAAATTGTGTTTAACGCATAACAACGCGTTCCATAGTCGATCCTACAAAAGATAATTAAAAAMCAAATAATATTATCGAATTATTATCCCAAATATTAATGTTTGGACTTTTTTTTGTCACCCCACAAYGATTTAAAATTTAAATTTTAAACTAACTGTGTCATTTGTAAACGCATTTTTCAAAACGTTATAGTTGCAATAGCTTGAAAAACACGCTTCTAATAGAACCATCTGATTTGCATTTCTTGCTCGTTGCAGGATGTAATTCAACTCTTGTGTTCTGAGTTCGTTCCCTTCGGTGGACTTGGTGTAATTGTTAATTGTACATCCTAAAATTTGGCAAGTTTTCCATTCGTGATTAAACTCACAGCGAATATCGCTGGACGTAGTACTACGGTATCGAGACGTGTAGCCAGTTTCACCACACGAGCCTTTGCAATCGGTCCACCTRAAATTATATATAATATGTAGGTTATATCGTATACTTATATGTCAATAATAATGGTAGATATATATCTGAATTTTAAACATGGAAAATATAACTTCATATAATTTACGTAAATTACATTATACAGTGAAAACTGTCTGTRACGAATCTGAAGGGACCATATATGATTTCTTTTGTTATTCAGAGATTTTGTAATATAGAGAGTAATTAATAGGTTTTAAATCAAACCAACCATTATAAAWTAACTTAATGTTATTTACGTAGTATAGAGTTTTTCGTTGTAACGAGTTTCGTTTTAAAGAGTTTTCACTGTATTTAATTTATTTTACAGTTTATATCTATATCTGGTTTACTTATAAATTTCGGTATTTACTTATTCCAATTGGGGTCTGAATTTGTCAAGTTGTACTTTGTGTATTCCATTTCCATAGCTTGGACATGTTGATTTCCTAAATTATACTATAGTTAATATATTGTAATCTTTAACTTATAAATGTTTAGCATGTATAATGCATATACGCATTATCTATAAAGACCCAAACCTTGAGTTACGTTTGTTATACGTCKTATACCCATCTATTTCCGTGTATTCGAAAAAAAGTAAAATAAAAGCCTGTTTCTACTTATAAATAATTGATAATAAAATATAAACCATTTCTATTCGTGATTTTTTTTTCAAAATGTAATTCTATTTATACATTACTCTATTATATAAATATTTGATGATAGTTTCAAGCTTAGTTACTCATATTACAGTACCTATATAATATTACTATGGATAGAGTCAGTGGTGTAACTGAGGGGGGCATGATGTGGGTAATATATTACCCCAAAGGTTCAAAAACCTTTTTTTCTAGGTATTTTTATAAACTTATTTTTATTTTTTATAAGCTTACTTGTGTAATTGCGTGTCAGAAGTATCAAGTATGTACTCTGGTTTTAATTTTGAACTCAATTTTAATTCTCTATACCAGTTTACAAGAAAGTAACGATTTTTTCTAGCACAAAACTAAATGGATTAGCTGCTATATCCATAAATAGGCACATTAACCTACAGGTTGATAAAATAATTTACGAGCTAGCAAAAAAAAAACCCACGAAACTAGATATTTTTTTATTTTTTTTTTTTATTAAAGTAGAAAAAAATATACAATCTGTATAACATAATACAATAAGTAATTTAGATAACATTTTTACCAGTCTGGACGGCTTGAGGGAAGGGAGAGTCCATTGACACTACTTCCAATATGAACTTTGGTTAAATTAAATTTTTATTGTACATAATAAGTGTATTTATAATATAATTTTGATTTATTTAG